TTAACCCTAGAACCTCCTGGTATTTGAAACTTTGTATCCTACGATTCATGTACCGTTACACTTTCCTTCCCATAGTAAATTTCTATAAACTATATATTATTCTTATAAGATTTTATACGTCATTTTATACAAATGTAAAAATATTTCTGTTACGTTCTTCAATAATGTTACGTTTATCCAACTTTTATATATCTATCGATCATGTGCAATCTTCACGAAACATTTCGTGTCTTCTCCTCGTGAAAGGTTCGCGGAATGAACATAAGGTGCATATACATCGTATACCTGTGTCGGTAGAACGCAACTTACGACAGAATAACTTTTATATTTCCGTACTTATCAATTTATTTTACTTCCTATGTTACGCCTTCATTCGCAAAATCGAATTGATCGATGTATAGTATACCGTACGATGTATAATAATATGTCAACGAATTTGATTAAAAATAAACAATCACAGCGTATACTCGAAAATAGAGAGAATGTTGAAAGTGTAAGGTCCTCTCGTCAGGTATTACGTAAATGGCTCCCCACGTTTTCGTGCCGATGTGTGTCGTTAATGGAACATCAATGGGACATCGTCACGATTATACGTTTGTGTAGAAATATACGTTTCACCCACCGTACACGTATCTTCGTGTATCTACACGTACACGATCGTATCTTGTACACGCATGCGTGCATACAGCACACGCTCGTTTGGAAAGTGTCTGTTACATGTACACACGTATATGCACTTAGCGGTGCACCATCAGGGTACCCATGGTTGGCACGTGCCAACCATCACAATGGATACGACCATCTGCACTCTTTCTTATAGAAAAATCAAAGTCGTAGGGAGCCAGGCGTTTGCCCGATTCCAAGTTCCCAGTTCCCTTCCAGTCCGTTATACGTTCGAACCGTTCGTTTCCCGTGGAAGACGGTTTCTGGACCAGTGCCGAGTGTGTACTTACACGCGCACACAGCAAAGGAAAAACGTGATAAGTCTGGTTTTTTGATTTCGATGTTACGTTCAGAAACCATGTTAATCAACTGCATAAATGGAGAGGCGAAGAAAAATGACGATGTCGAAGACGATGCTGCTTTTTTGTAAATTTACCTTAAGTTTACATCGTTATCTAGCTGTGTCATCTTCTCGCGACAAATGAACTTATAGAAGTAGGTCGTTTGTTTCTTGAGAGCTGGGTGTTAATCGTGTATCTAATGAAACGAAGAAATTAATAAAAAGCGGCGGGTATAGTATGATACAGTGTATGATACGAGCTCGTTCACGGGCCAATGCGGTTAACACCACTTGTTGAAATTTCGGAAACTCTTACGACGAAGCATTTGATCGACGCTTATCTCATATGTAATTTTATCAATCTCTCTCTACTTCTTCATTTGTGGAGTTAGCTGAAAAGCAAATAACTGACTCGTATATAGCACTGGTATATTGATAAGAATTCAGGTTTTCATATCAGGTCTGTATACTTTTTAACGATTTTCCGCAAGTAAGCTATCTAAGTTGGATTAGAGATTGTCTCTAAAGCCGGTGTACGGGTATAACGTGTCGCGAGGATGGAGAAGGTGCACAATCAGCCAGCTGTACGCGAGGGGTGCCTTTGCAACCCCCGATATATGGCAAAGTAAGCAGCTGAGCTACCCCCATGGTCGCACTGTGCGTTACGCGCGTTCGATGCCCTATAGCGAATAATCTTCGCATTTATGACTGCTGGGAACAGACCGATGGATCGTTCGTTATATTCCTTCGGTCCCTTATTTGTTCACCCTCTTTTAGACTTCTCTCCTCCGCTTCTTTTTTTTTCACTTCGTCTGTCTTCTAACTAACCTTCGTTTATTGCTTCAATACGTGATTACCACGCCAAAGCGAGAAGTGTAAAGCGGTAACCACAACTTTGCAACCCAGACTTAAAGAGGTTAAAAGATTTATATTTTAGATTTTAAATGATTTTGATAATAAATGAGCAGATAAATAAATACGCAGTAAAAGATAACATAAATAAATTACCAGGAAATCTTTGTTATTAAAGATATACGTATATCTATATTAAATAGAAAAAAAGACAGCATTGTTAAAAAATGTGCAATAAAATGTGAAGCAGGAAGCACGAGATGGGTACCAATGGAATTTTATTAACGACAACGAGAGCATTGCATAAATTAGCGTGGCGAAGTTACTACCTGCTATCCCTATTTATCCCTTTTCCCTATTTATCCCTATGGTTAAACAAGATAAGACACGCATATGTACGCGCAAACATACGTTTCGAACTTATTTGCGCGATTGAATCTTACGAACGCATACGTGGCGTGTCCGTGTGAAAATCTTTAAAGAATGCGAGGGTGGTATCGGAGATCAGGTGAAGCATTGTGATCGGCAGAATGAAAAAACGGACCGAGCTGTACCTGCTGAGAGCTGCATCCTTCGGAATGGTCGGTGCATCAGTCGACGGAAAGAGGAGCATAGTAACAGACAGAGAGGAGAACAGGCCCTTTCAGTGCGAGCAGCAACTCCTACGGTCGGCAACCTTTTCCGGCCTGGTATCGAAAGTGAGCTAGCCAGTGAATGACCGAGTATACACATAGGCACGAGCGCGAGAAAGAAGGGAACATAAGCAGCGTAGATTTAAATGTTCCTTTTTTTCTTCTCCTTCTTCTTCTTCTTTATTCGTCTTCTCCTCCGTCTTATCCTTTTCCTTCCTCTTTGAATATAATATATATGTCGGTTTGATAACTCTAGATATGTTAAATAATTCCTTCGAGAACGCGGTCTCTTCTATATTAATTAACTTTGATAATCAGTGCCTTAGATACGGTCTTTAAAAGCTTTCGAACTGGAAACAAATATACAATGGATAGGAGAATTTTTACGTACATATTGCACGCGTTATATAAAACATTTTATAATTTCTAACACTGTAAGGAGGCACGACCGCTATGGTTATATTGGTTAAATTAAAAATTTAAGATCAATCCGATAATATATATATATAGATGTATGTATAGACTTTGCAAATATGTAATTTACTGCAATCATAAGCTTACAATCATTAAAATATTAGGGAGGAACATGAATAATAATTTTAAACATATAATTGTGCTAAAAATAGAATATCATGTATTATTAATATAGCGAGCAATTAACTGTTCACGTACGAGATACTCCGATAATCTTTACGGAGCGTATGCCTCTGATGAATATCTTGTAATTTCTATATACATTAACAGACTCGTACCAGATGTTACGAACGTAATCACGATACTCAAGTATCGTATGTATGAGATACAATTGTACCTCATTACAATATTAATGAAATTTCGAAATGTTTTCTGTAACACGCGCGATGTATTCATGGAAGCTTCCTATAAATATTCAGATACTTTCGTCAGCTACTGAAGACATAACATTTTTCAAAGCCAACGAGTAAGCGAACGTACGTGTGCGAAGAAACCTGAAGTTGCTAAGGTTTAAATAGTTAAAGAATTTTCTCAATAGACTTTTATTTCGAAACTAGATCGAAGTTTACAAAGTCGTAAGGGAACATATGCAGACGCAAGTGTGCTTCTATATATATGTACATTTCATATAGATTTAGCGACTGGTAAATATCGGCGAACGATCGAGTAAACGAACAAACGGATGTAACGAAACACGGCGGCAAAGAGGCAGAAAAGGGCCCCCCATAGCGGTTACCCTAAAGAGTGGATTCCGCGTTCCGTTCTCCCTGTACGCCCTGAGAAGATTTAGGCGGGCCCTTTCCCAGTTACCGATTGGTCGGCCCTTTCCCCCCACCACACCAGGCTGCCACATATAAAGACAGACTTCCCGCCAGGCCACTCAGATAGTACGCGACTTTGCGGGTTGCCGTGCGTTGATCCGAGTCGGCAGTCGATGTAACGAACGGCGGGTTACCGTTCGAGCTTTTACGTACCGTCGTTTCATTCTTTAATTCGATAAATACGGCCACTCTGTACTGTGATTTCCCGGCTCGCACAGTTCCTTTTCTTCTCGTTTGTTACCATCGACTGGTTTTAACTGTGACTTCGTGTTTCGTCATTGATCGCTATGTTCTGGCAAGATGTTAATAATTCGTGTGAAGTGTGGCAATATACAAGGTATATATCGTAATAACGCTAATTTTCTGCTTCCGAGCTATGTCGATTTTTCGTCTCTTTCGTCTCGTACTTTTCGTGTGAACGCGCGTGTGAATATGTGTCTGTAAATTCAGTGCAAATTCAGTGAAGTATATGTACATGGGGGAAATTTGTTTACATTGTATCTACGTGCTTTTGGAATCCAATATGTTCGTAAAGAATTCTTAGTAACATGCCCACAATTTCACCTATTAAAACTATATTAGGTCTTATCCTATGTCTTTTACGTATCATACGCTCTTATTGTACATGGATCAGTGATTTCTAAACTGCGAGAATAGATATACCGGTGAAATCAGTTTTGCGCGCTGCTAAGTGCATGTGGTGCTCGCGCGCAAGCGCATTCGGTTGGCGCGCTCTCGCTCTACCATATTTCCTCGTGTTGTACATATGTAAAGTATTCTGGCAATAAGTTTTGTTAATGAAACGGCAATGTGCGAACGACAGCGTGTTCTTTTGTATCGCTCAGCCTTGTAAATCGCGTAGAATTCTATTTTAACATTGTGTAACTGTGTTTAGGAAAGAAGAAACGCGATTAATTTCGAGGCAATTTATAGAAGTTAATCATTCATTCACAGTAGAATATTATTGCGTGTAAAACATGTCGATAATATCTGTGGCAATATTCCTAAAGATGTGTTCAATGAAATTCAAGGTGCGTGATTTTCTTCAGTTCGAGAAATCTTTTGTTCTTAATTATAACTTCCAAAATATGTATCTTTATCGGGACCTAATTATAGAGGTTAGGTTTATCATTGAACTGATATTGTATTTTCGTAATTGTATATACAATTGTGTCTGTGTGTAGAAAGGTATGTAATAATTATTTCTTTTCTTTACAGCCTCTTCAAGGATGTATTTAACATTGGAGACACTTCGAACGGCTCAGTGAAACCTAAACCAAAAGTCCGCCGGCTAATTGGCATGGCTACGCGACGTCTTTCCAGTCCAGAGCCAGTCTCGCCATCTATAGACAAAGAAAATAACAGTCCGCATGGCACTAGCCCGCAAAAGGTATAGTTATCAATACATATGTTCTTGCATATTTCGACTTTTTTTTCCTTCAATTTTTTCTTTTTTTTTTTTTGTTACCCTTATTAATTCTAACTAGTGCTCTTTCATTAAATTACGGACAAGCGTAAAACATCACCTTTTATATCGTCGCGTTAAGAAAAATATGCACCTGTTCCTACATTATTCGTGGCTATTTATCGCTCACTTTCAACATCTTGAATATATTTAAAATAGTTATCACATACGGGGGCGCGCGTCAAAATGACACTTCCGTTTCTGTTGTATTTTGAATCGAATTAAATCGAATCTAATCTGTCGATTAATCTAGACTCGGACTGAATTAGTTCTCGTTATCTGTATTTTGAACAAGCGGCGTGTCACATTCTGAAGCGCCACACCGGGTCGGTCTTTAAAATTTTTTTACATGGTCAAACGATAAGCGTCAAAAGACAAAATTAATTCGACAGAGTGTGATAAATACTCGAGTCTAATTAATGTATTTTAATGTGTAATAGATCGTCGGTACAAAAAGGACCCGTCATCCTCTAGAAGATTGCGATCCGAATAGCCAAGACAGCGGATATGGAGCAAGCTTCATTGAGAAAGAGGAAAAATCGAGGCGAGATAGATTTCGATTTGCGGAGCCCCTGGCCGTTGCTCCACGTCGAATGTCTATCGAATCTCGGAGTCCGATGGAGTCGCCGGTACGATCATCGCCACACCGAGCGCGAATCGCACGATGTTCCCTCTTTCGAAGCATCTCATCCGGTTACGAGAGTATGGATGATGGGTTCAACGATGTGGTAGATACCGAGAATTTGGACGATGCGACGCAATTACCGAATGGTATCACCACTTTACTCTGCGGCAATATCGTCGGTGCCGAGATCGCGAATACATCAACGAATCCTGACTTAAGTAATCAGAGCACGCCCGAGTATTCACGTACCTATGGCGGCACAAGCGGAAGCTTCAGACGTTCATTGTCATTGCAATATGAAAAGGAAAGTCAAAAGATCTCGTCGCTTTCGAAAGTACGTTCCTGTTTGTTTCGTTCTCCGAATGCGAACTCATCGACTAAGACTCTAGATTTCGACGATGGTAGCCCACTAGCGACGACTATACCCGTTGCACGACGTCGGCGAATCGATGAAATTACCGACGAGAACACCGACGCAGATACATTCAATTTGCCGTTTGCTCGAGCTTCGAAGCGGCATGAACCACTGATGAACGAGAGCCCGAGACTAGTCAAGAGATCACGAAGATCCAACAACTTCTTTGAAGCCGTCAAAGATTGTAGCAGTGGTGAAGCCATGATGTTCGAGATGCCAAAGTGTAGGTCGTTACAGAAGAGCTTTTCTACGTCAGGAATAGAGACGGCAGCTGTAATAGAAACGATATCGACGAAAATGGAAATAGAGATGGAAATGGAAACGGACATAGAAATGGAGACAGAAACGGAAACTGGGACAGAGACAGAAGTGTCCTCGGAATTGGAAGCACACGCGCACATCAAATCTGCTATTCATCGCAGCGTCACCGATACCGATCTCACAGGAGATTTCAGCAAACCATGCGTCCTGCCATTAGCTGTTGGTCATCACGAAGATTTAAAATCGATTTCAGTCGATACCTTAGCCGCTTTAATACGTGGAGAATTTAACGATAGAATTAATTCGTTCGAAATCGTAGATTGCCGTTATCCGTACGAGTTCGATGCAGGTCACATTCAAGGTGCTCTAAATCTTTACAGTAAAGATCTCATCGAGCAATCCCTATTAGATCCACTGAAAAATACACCTGAAATTGAACCAGATACGAGTAAAAGAAATATTCTAGTGTTTCATTGTGAATTTTCGTGGGAACGAGGTCCAAATCTCTCACGATTTCTACGAAGTTTGGATCGTCAACGTAACAAGGAATATTATCCCGCTCTTTATTATCCGGAAGTTTATTTGCTGCATGGCGGATATGAGCAATTCTACAGGGAACAGAAGGAATTGTGTTCGCCACAGGGTTATCGACCGATGAGCCATCCTGATCACCAAGCCGATCTCAGACAATTCCGAAGCAAAAGTAAAAGCTGGCAAGGTGAAAGATTAAGATTTAATGGTTGTGCAACGCGTAGTAATCTGAAACGTCTAGGTTTTTAGATAAATCTCCATTTTCCTCATTATCGTTTCTGCCATTTACCTGACCTCCTCTGTTACCTCTCTCCTCTTTTCACTTTCCTTCTTATCTTTCTTTTACCATCTCTTTTCTTTTCTTTCCTCGTTTCTCTCGTCTCTATTCTGTTTTCCTATAATTAGCAATCAGTACGCTCGAGATAGAGAATTTGCAGAAAAATTGTATAAAGGTGCAAATTTAAAAGTTAAAATAATGACAATGTGGAATAAGAAAAAGGAAAAGGTTTTCCTTTTTGCGCGTCAAATTTGTACGATCGTTCCTACATATTACTGTAAATAATAGTAATTCCTTTAATTTGCGAATACGCTTAATTTTTTTTAGTTAATCAGTTATAAAGAGATGATATAAAGAGCATGTACACGCGTACGATAAAGGACAACGACAGCAAAAATATCAAGTTAATGCGAAGAAGGTCACATTACCAAAACAGTATTAATACGAAAATTGAAGTAAAACAGTCGTAGAATAAAAATTGTATCGTAATACTCTCGGATAGGATTCTCATTCATACCCATTCGATATCGTATTTTCATCAGATTTGCACGATCTTGAAATGTTTTCGCATAAAAACTGATCGCAAACATCGTCGTTGTTTCCTGATATTCTTGTTCGCCAAAGTTTAGCGCATATGTGTACACCAGTGTAAAGAAATTATGTTTAAGTGGGTTACATTGACTAAAGAAGGGTGTAGAGCAATTGTTTATGAAGAAATGAATATATCTTTAAATGTGCAAGCTTGTACGAATGTTGTATATGGATAGTTTATGTTGTATGACGTACGTATGATGTGTATACATGTACATAACGCATGTGCGCGTATGCGTATATGTAGGAAGATATGTAGAAAATCAAATGTCTCCATTTAGTCTGTGTATAGTGCATTATTTCATTATAATATAGCATTAAAATAATTTTGTTTCTGCATTTATGTTTCTTTATTTGAAATTCGTATTTTATAATGCAAATATCCGAACACCTGATGCAATTCGATCAAAAGGTCGATATCTTTGTTATATTTTTGAAATTATTAAAGATTTCCATTTGAAATATAATGTACATGTTTGCAATAATTCATCAGATACGTTAATATTCTAATAAATATTCAATAATTAAAAAAATGTGTTGTCAATACCTGAATTCCGATAGATGGCGTGTATTACAGCGATGTTTACCAAAATGATTTCGTGCGCATGATTGGTTAGCGCTACAGGCTTCTGCAATGTACTACATATATAACGCGTATGCCGATCTATATAGAGCAAACGTTGGCAAAAGGAGGGGACGATAAGGACAAGAATCGACTACAGTGTGCCGGTTTCTAAGATTGTTACAAAGTCAGTTGTATTTGTAGCTTCCTTAATATTCTTTCTTTAAAGTTTTTCATCTATGAGTTAAAGTCCGTGTTGGGTGTCATGCTGCTTTCAATTAACGCAAGTAATATCTATTAGAAAAATTGATCAAAGCGTGTCACATTACTCTCCTCCCAATGTAGCACGTAATAATTAGTGTCGTAGAATACGCGATCTTCTCTTTTTTTCACCTTACTTCGTTTGTGTTTTTCTTTTTTTATTGTATGTTTTGTTTTCTTTGCGAGTTAATAAGAGATTATCGATTATATGCAAAAACGGTTGCTCAGTATCGGTCAAATTGTTTGTACGAATTGCCTATCGACCATTTGCGATAACCTTGCTGTATTTTTGGTTTGGTTACGATTGCGAAGAATGGATTATTTGTTAGTTTCGTAGTCTGTCGTCTGTTATTACTTGGTGTATTTTCAGCTTCATTAATTGCAAGGAAACCTCTCGTTGAAATTGGAACTCGTCTTTTGTCTTCGATGGCTCAAGCGTTGCAAACTCATGGTGTCGTACCCGACGTTATAGACAAGGTCCCACAAAATGTACTACAGGTCACTTATCCAAATAACCTTGCCATTGAAATTGGCAAAGTGTTGACTCCGACACAGGTGAAAGATCCACCTTCTGTTAAGTGGGATGGCGATGCAAGTGTTTTCTATACCCTTTGTATGACTGGTACGTATTGAAAGAATATTGAAATTTTTATAGTAATTACACCGCAGGTTTTAATGTAACGTCATATTTTTGTTAACACAACTAAAGAAATGGTATCTATGTAAAAATTTCTGCCTGCCGTTAAATGTTATAATTAGACTGCAGATTTTTATCCAGTCATAGGACATTTGACAACGTAAAATTGCATAGGTTGCACATATAATAGTAGTTTTTAATTAACAGTTAGATTAATTTATTATATTTTCCTTCCAGATCCAGATGCACCAAGCCGCAAAGAACCAAAGTTTCGTGAATGGCACCACTGGTTGGTAGGAAACATTCCTGGTTCTGACGTTTCCAAAGGTGAAGTACTCTCTCAGTACATCGGTTCAGGTCCACCAGAAGGCACAGGACTTCATCGCTATGTGTTCCTTTTGTATAAGCAGCCTCAAAAGCTTACATTCGACGAACCTCGTCTGACTAATCGCAGTGGGGATAATAGAGCAAATTTTTCTATTAAAAAATTTGCTGCAAAATACAAACTGGGAAACCCTATTGCTGGAAACATGTACCAGGCAGAATTTGACGATTATGTTCCACTTTTATATAAACAATTGGGAGGTTAAGTACATAGCATGGATAGAATATGAGGGATATGAAGCCTGGTATATAGATATTGGAGATTGGCGCGCAGATATTTTGTATGAAATTTGATATTAAACGCTCATTCATGTAGTACAAGTCCTTTTACATTGTGTAATGTAACAGCTGTACACAATGAACAAAAATAAATAAAGTTATAACGTATCATCGTAATGTTCGATCCACCAGCACATTTGTTCCATCAACTATGTAATATATATATTGTATTATCTAATACTTAAGATCATTGATTTAATGGAATGATTAGCGTTTTTCTACTTTCCACTTTAGAGGATTTTGAAAAGGAAAGAAGTTGTGAGGAAAGGAGCGCCAAGTAGCAAATAAGAGGACGCGAACATTCGCGAAAAGAGGGGGAGAATCATGGTCGTTCGACGCCAAATGAAAAGAAAAGTTAAATGCAATAGGAATTCTTGTCAGGTTATAAGCTAGGAAAGGGGTGGGGGACGTAGTCGGTAGGATAAAACGTTTCTACAGAGTCGAGCGTGTGTAGTCTGTCGAGGCTAAGTGCAACAGAACGAGATAAAGATGAAGTATTCCATGATAATAGGTACGTGTATATATTTAATTAAAATCGAATCGCGAATACAACTATGTACCTAATTTCACTATTTTCGGATCGTTGTGTGTTAAATATGAGATACAAAATAAATTGCAGGAATTCTTGTCTGCGGTATCCATATTATCACCGGTACAGATACTCGTACAAAATTTGAGGAAGCACAAATCGTACCCGATATACTAGACACGGCACCAACAGAGAAGATCGAGGTGTAGTTTTTTTTGAATAATTGCACTTAACGTTAGTGTGAGTCTGGGAGTGCAAATGCAAGCGTATCGTAAGGAGAAAGCTGAATCTAGTTGGCATAGATGCGTGTGTTTGAATAGTTTAAAAGATGAAAAGTATCAAATAAATTATTTGATATAACTAAATGATGTTATTTAGTTATTTCATTTAATATTTATCTTATGGCAATAACGTGTATGGATCTGAGTTAGGTCAAGTACGGAGACAAAGCGATCGATTTTGGAAATGAGTTAACTCCCACGGAGACGCAAACGATTCCAGAGATTCATTACAAGCACGAAGGGGGAGTACTTTACACGCTTGTAATGACAGGTAAGTCAGCAGAGAGTAAACTCGTACAGTGCAAATTTGTTTGGAGGCTAGAGACGATTCAAGTTAATTACGGAGAAGAACGCGACCTTATATACATTACCTTATCCTTGTGAAACTTTCGAGGCGTGCAACTCGCGACAACTTTCACCGAGTCGACGCGAACAAACCTGTTTCTTTCGTTCGCTGTTTCTTCTTTGCCATGGCTCTTGATCGATCGATGATTCGATGCCTCGTAATTTGGTGCTCGTTAAAGCCATTACTAATGAAGATTCCGACGTTCTTTCATGCGCAGATCCTGACGTACCGACTAGGAAGGGATACAATCGAGAATTTCGACATTGGTTGGTCGGAAATATTCCAGAAGAAAATGTCGCGAAAGGAGAGGTACTAGCGGAATATGTTGGTCCAGCGCCGCCAAAAGGTAGCGGTAAACATCGATATGTCTTTCTCGTTTACAAGCAGAATCAAGGATCCATTACATTCGACGAGAGAAGGCTGAGCAACAGGTAAAGTCGAGCGTGCATAGTAGATATGTAATAGCTTGCGTGCTTTTTAATCCTTTGTGGTCGTATTGAGCATCAATATAGACACCATGGTGATCAGAATTAATTATCGTAGAACGGACGCTAATAGTACGATCAAAGGAATGTCCAATGACTGAAGTTCGTAATCACCAGTTTCGATTTCACGGTGCACTGACCTAAATTGTGAGATCTTGTTATCTCATTAAGGATCAAAGTTGCGTTAACGTAACGTTCTATTTGCAATTATTTTAATCAATTTACGTTATCGAATCTTGTCTTTTTAATTGTATAACTACGAAAGAAAATATCAAGGATTGTAGCAAAATATCGCTTATTATCTTTCTCGGTGCTATTTTTTTGCGCTTAAATTCTACAATCTTACATAATTTCAAGAAGTTATAGTACGTATAATAAATTATGTACAATCAAGTACGTGTTATGATAAACTATTGCTTGATCCTTAATGGGTTAAAAATCTTGTATATTTCCAAAGCACGTGGCAGTATAACGTACAGTCTGACTGGTTCTTCGTTTTGATGGCTGAGAGCAGATATACGACCCCAAAGAACTAATTGCTTTCTATTAATTACCAGCTAATAACGTGTTATTGGCAAGCGATAAATCGCGAATTACCGATTGATACGAATTTCAGGGATGGTCCTCAACGAAGGCGATTCAACATAAAGAAGTTCGCAGAGAAATACAACTTGGAAGGACCAATAGCAGGGAACTTTATGAGGGTGGAGTACGACGATAACGTGCCGACATACGCGAAACTTTTAGGATTATAAGACAGAGGATTTTGAGTCGTGCACCCGGCTTACGAAGGATATTCTTTTCATTGATATTTATAGGTGATGGTACGAAACAATTAATTGCCTGTACAAATACGACTGCCGACCAACCGAGGTACGATATACTCGATTTACAATGAGCGAAATAAGATAATAAACGTTTGAAGAAGATAATAGATACGAGAAAATCGGTCGATTCGTTTATTTTCGTTGATTCTCGTTACAAATATAAAACGTATCCTATGTAAATTTCGCGACTCGTGGATGGCTTTGGTTCGCTCTCGGAGTCACTCCAAGTTCAAAAGTCTGGGTCGTCTCGAGCGGGGAGTATCGTCAGTCTAACGTTGTTCGCTACCTTACTGGAAGCAATTTATAGACAGACAACGACCATTTGTTTTTGTTACCCATTTATCGTTAATCATCATTGGGTACGATGACTAGAATACGTGATAAGCGTGTTTCTCTGGGACTTCGGCGACCGGTCGAGACGCAAATTCGTTAAGGAGCTGAGTCGCTAAGCGCGAAATGTGCTTCCGCCGACTGAATCGGTTGCTAGGTTTAGCACGAATATAAAGATAAGTACGCCGCTAGGGATGCCGCGCGATCTGATAGCAGACCGTGGGATCGATACAATAATTCGTCGACGCGAAGGAACTTGTTAAACGAGCATCTTCCACGAGAGACGAAACTGGATGAGTCAGGACGAGGCGGGAACGAAACGGGCTGAGCGGGATGCGACTTTTTGGACAACGGGACAAAGAACGAGGCAGGTAGAGAAATAGAGAAGGGTTTGCGAAGAAAAAAGAAGAAATCGAAAGGATATTTCGATGTCGTTCGTTCGAGAGTTTGGTCTCAAGGTAAAACGAGATCCGGATAAACGGTAATGTTCCAACAAAGCCGATGATCCCGTGTGTCGCCCCATCCGCCGTTGCCCTTCCTGAGCTTCGTCTTTTTCGCAGTGCCAGCTACAGTAAGCGTCAGTTGAGTAGGAAAAAGATGGTCTCGGGCAGCCTTTAGGACGTTTTGAACCTTTGCTATCACAGCGGTCGATTCGCAATTGGTTTTCTTGTGATGGACTCCGCTGGTATTGGTAACATTCATACATCATCGATTTAACGATCATAAAAGTATTTCGCTACAGGGAGATACGACGTGTGGAAAGACAGAGGTGATATATTTCCTATAATCGTTAGGTATCCGTTGGAATACGATAGGAGGCATAAAGGAGGCATAAGTTTAAAGGAGGAGGCAAAAAGGAGAGTAGGAAAGAAAGAATTATTCCGACTCACCATTCTCCGATGTGAAAAACTCTGGGCGCCCGCATCATCATCGTGATTAAACCGGATTCTGTACGAGGCGCGATTCCGGGTCCTTTGCTCGGTGGCATACAGGTTTGCGCGATATGTTGAAGACTCCAGTCCCAATTGTAATCGTCGTACGAGCAGAACTGGGCGGCGCACTTTCTCAATTTGTTCCAAGTGACGCGATTAAACGCCATGCCCATGTTGTGTTTGCTCGAGATCCAAGGAATCACTTCAGCCTGAATGAAATATCACGAGCGCGGTTCTTAAGATGCAACTACAGTATCGTAGCGAGGATAAAACGAAATAGGAAGATCGCGGGACGATCGGTGCGCGTGAGCGCGTGCGCGCACGCGCGTGCATGCTACTGTGTATTACGTATACAACAGAAATCTCGTACAACGCCACTTATTGTATACATAGAGCTCGTTAATCGCTGTCTAACAACTTCGAGCATTCTTTTCTCAGATTTACGAGTGTACCCTGAACGATTACTCGAAGCTTGCATTAGCATCATGCGCAATGGCGTGTTAAATCGTCGATCGCGAATCTATCGCAGGACGATCAAATTTCGGGAAAATCGGAGAAAATAACGCGTGCGTGCGCACGTGCGCGCCCGACTTCGTAGAGATAGGGGGAAGGATGGAGAGAATTGCACGCATAACGAGGGTCGTCGAAAGATGTCGGCAACCTTTTGATAATGATTGTAGAGTTCGGGTAGGAGTTGGAAAGCCCATGCGGAGGCAGATTGCACGATCTGTGAGTTGCGTGCGATTGGTAGGATGGCGGCAGCGCCAGTGTTGCTAACGCTGCTGTTTTTGCTGTTGCTCGCCCCAGTAGGAGTACTATTGCTGCTACTGCCGGTGCTGCTGCTCCCACTGCCGCTGTTGTTGCTGCTGCTGCTGCTGCTGCTTGGGATTCCGTTGATTCTTCCGTTGTCACTGGTACCGATGACGTCTTCGGCTTTAGCCGACTGTTGCCTCGTCGATGTTTCCCATCTTTTTAATCCACGCAGTAGCTCCTTTTGCAGGGCGCTGTTGACGCCAAGGAACTAACGGACGAGGCGTGCGTGAAACATCGACACACAGATATTCATACTGAAATCGAGCTGATGATTCGATACGACGATAATTCGGTATGCACCCATCGTCCAACGATTCTTACGCGGTCTCGCGACACATTCTTTATTTACTCGGATCGACTCGAATTTGCCTACCTCTCGCGCCCTAACTTTTCGTTCCTTCGTTCCTTTTATCTGTCCCTACTCTTAGCTAACTCTCCTTCCCTTCTTTGTCTCTTAATAATAAGCACGACTTGTCGCAAACGCGGCGGTAAGAAGAGGAGAGCGGAGGAAAGAGGAGAGCGAAGAGAGGAAGAGACAGAGAGAGAGAGAGAGAGAGAGAGTGCAGCTGTTAAGTCAAACAACTAACACAATAGAATGAAACAGAGGCCACGCGGGAAAATATTGTACGTTTAATGTTTGTTGATTTTCTGCTTTGTATGTCATCTTGATGACTGAACAAAATTATTTTAAATATGAAACTGTTAAAGAAGGGAATAACCTGATGGATTCGAAGATACGTAAGCGTTCCGAAAGTGGATGATAATGCCTCGCGAGAAATCTTTCAAATTCTCAAGATAATAGCAGCAACGCGTATCCATCTGATCCTATGATCAAATGCAGAGCTAACTTGCACGTGATATTAGTCGACTGTGAGTTGAATTTTGAAATGATTCCACGAAAAGCAGACAGTGTCGCTTATATGCGTTCTTCACCTGTGGCCTTCGAATCGAGCGAGAAATCAGTTGAAACGAGAGATCACAGCGATCGAGTAGCGAGGAATATGGATCGTCGAAGCAAGTAAGAGATCGCGCAAGCTAACGGTTCGCGAAGCACGATTTTTCGATTGCATGTCTGGTTAGGGAAGGAGGTGTCGAGTTCGCGCACCGAACGAGTAAAGCGATTAGAGTGGTTAGAACGATTTGAGCAATTAGAGCGATCAGAGCGGTTAGAGCGATCGGAGCGATTAGTGCGACGCGTGTGAATCTCTCACCTTTCGACTGAAATCGGCAAAATAATTGTAGGTTTTGAGATAGGTGCCCAGGGACAGGACGTTGCATCTTTTGCAGCTATGTTTACAGGTACGTTCCATCAGTCGGAGAACGTGTAGGAAATCTTCGGCGACGTAGTGATCTTCCTCGAGGAAAAGAACTATGCCGGTGTGATTTCTCGTGATCGATAATTGATCGAACACGCGGTTCGCTTTCCACCACCAGTGATGCTTCGTCTGCGTGAATTTGGCTTCTCTGTAGTGTCCGTAGAGGTCCGGATGCTTCGCGTTGATGCAGCCGAGATTCAGAGCTCTGTGGAGTTGCGAGTTATAGCGGCGAACATGTGCGGAAGAAAACGTACACCATCGCTCAAAGGTCTTGGGACAGTTCTTATTATATTGGCTCAAAATTGGAAAAGATTAAAAATTCATTATGAATAATAATAAATTACGCGTTACTGATATATTAACGATTTTACAGCAATTTGAAATTCATAATCTGCACCGATTAACGCAAAATTTTGTCAAAAGAAGGAGACGTCCTAACGTCTTTGAGCGAGAGCGTGTAGGTTCGTCGAGGATCGTGCTCGAGGTAGACAAAGACAGGATTTTCTATAAGTGCCAGACCGCGAAATTTGTATTTTAATTCTAATTTTAAATTCTACCCTTTGTATCTATAGTATTACATACTCGAAATATTCGCGAAAACTGAAGTTTCGTAATTTTTATTCCCTCGTTGTCTTTGTTCTCCCTCGTTCAGTTTCAAACGATCAGCGATTGTTACAATATAGACAAACTATTACGCTACGTTAAAAAAGCTATCTGTAATTATAGAACGAAATTTAACGGATAAGTGAAGTAATTATTTCCTTGTAAAGGAAGATAGAAACTGATCTAAAGAAGCTGACGCACCTGACCTACAAGAACCTGACGCACCTGACCTACAAGAACCTGACGCAGGTGCGTGCATAGAGAATGTAGCGACGACAGTTAGTGACTCTTAGCGCTTTATTTTACGACCTCATTGCGTTGTTTCCATTTACAATTCTCTCCTTTATTCTAACAGGCACACGAGCGTTCGAAAATTACTACTAAGAAAACAGAAGCACGTTTCTTCGTTGCATCGGTACAAACGCGTCTACCGCATGCAGCAATAATATGTAAAAGTTTGCAATCAGGTAAACATTTTGCTATACTCTTTAAACTGCTCTAAGTTCTTTCCCAAATTTCTTGGAATATAAAGCGAACGATTTATCCGATCAAAAACTGTTTCAGTCCGTTATATACCAGATAGCGATCGCACAATGGTCCCCCATAATCCAACGCTCGTTAAAAATCCCGCCTTAAGAACACTACGGTCGACGCATTCGATAAACAAGAGGATTACTCACTGTTCTTTGCGAATGTTTCGAGGGCAATCGTTCGGATCTTCGCCGGGAAACGTTCGAGGATGAGTCTGTATGCTGTGAGGGTAAAATATTTGCATGACACGACAGAAGTCGACACTTTGCACGAGATAGTTGATGTCCGGATGCCAAACGTCGTGGCTAAAGACCAGAAGGGTTTGCTCGATCCCTTTCGCTTGAGCCAACGACACGATCAGGTGTCTGAGGTAGGTGAGCCGTGTGTGCACTTGAATCACTATTATGGGAGCGTCGTTAGCCAAAGGACCGAAAGACTCTTCGTTGTACACTCTTTGCTCGGCGTTCGCCCTTTCTATGTTTCGACGAATCTCCGCTATTTCGAACTCGGTTAACGTTTCCGTGCTCGCGTTCGTTAACGTCGAGGAAGAACCATTTCGACGATCTTTCAGAAACCTGGAAGAACAACTCTTTTTCTTTCTTTCTTTATCCCTCTTTGCCAAACAACGTCTTACTTATCTTTGTTTTTCTCTCGTTTGTCTTTTTGCTTTTTTATTATTTTCGTACGTATTATCGCACGTACTGGCGACGAGGATTTTTCTTGAAAATGGTGAAAAGGCGTATTTGCACGGCCTGATTTACCTATGTAATTCTTGCGGTACGAGGGAGAACAGCGTCTCGTTCGACGAGGCCTGTCCAGAGGAATCTCGGCCGGTCAGGCTGATCACGTGAAATTGAAGCCAGAGGAACGTCACCAGGAAGACGAAGACGAGCATCCTCAGGAAAGTTCCGCGTGCCGATCTCACCGTTCCAAGAACCGCCACTCCTGCAAGTACCGTGTTATTCCGCAGTCTCGCTGATCAACGGCGTTAACGAAGCAGCATGCGTGTACTATCGTTTAACAATATTTGAAAATTCGCTTATCCTTGACGACACGTTTAATCGCAAAGTTACGAATATACGTTAAATTGCAAAGGTTTTACTCGTTGGAATCATCGGCAATTGGCTATGTGCAATGGCATATAACGTTTTCTTCTTATTCTTATCATTAAAAATGTAAAACGGATATTAGATTGATTTTTAAACGTCAGATTTCCGAGTTCGTTGCAAAGGTACGCGATGATAAATTTGACATTTGCGATCGTTAAATCTCGTGCAAGTACTTTGTGTAATAAGCTCTTCGGCTTCGATATCCTTAGTATCCGAATGATAAATCACGGTAAACAAGATCCAATGCAAGCAGTTTAATGTAAATCGTATGCAAATAGTAATCGTAAGATCGATGTAATAAGCGGCAAACGTAGTAAATAGCAGTTTATATCGATAAATATTATTATTAAACGTCCAACGAACCGTCGATCTGTTGATCGCATAAAAAGCTAATAGATTCTAATTCGAATCATTAATACGACGTTACTTCGAACAAATTTAAATGCTCTTATCACTAATCAATCAGAGCGGCAGGATGATCTTCGAACCGGCGATGGTACTCATATTTTTTCTTGTATTCGACGAAGAATAGGATAGTCTCTCTTACCTCTCATTCTGGCATTTCTACGCGTCCGTTCTGCAACAGTATAACACAGTTAACAGACTAAATCGTCGTTTCTCACGTCTGTTGTATCATTTAACGAGCGAAATAAATTTGTATGCGAGTTCCATTTCTTTAGTTACTCTAACAGAGAATAAGAGAAATTGCATAAAAATCGGCGACAATCGTGCAAGAACATCGTTAAACGATACGACGAATGTAAGAATTTCGAGCTAATTAATTAGCATTGAAAATAAAGTAAAATTAATTAGTGCGTACATAAATAGGGTTCGAATACTTTTCGTAGCCACTGTATTTGATAGGAGGTAAATCACCGTCTTACCTCGTATCAGAGAAAAGGCGCGACGGATGGTCCCTCATTTCGACGAAATCTGCGAAAAAAGAAACGAATACGAGCGCTGATAAAAACGAGTAGCATCTCTTGCATATATTTATACTTGTATCTCTTCTCGTATTTCGCCGAGATCGCGATTTCGACCGCGGCTACGACCACGACAACAACCACGACAACAACCACGACTACGATCGCGAGAACCACGATACGAAGGGATGAATTTGTCCATTCGTCGTTCGAGCTGTCGGTAGGCGTATGTCGGCCCGCCCAAAGGAAAAAAAAAAGAAATCGTGTCAGGGGGCGTGAACGATTAGCGTTGGAATCTCAGTTGCTATCGGTCACTGGAAATTACGGTTTAACAGATCTTCTTTCACACGGAGATACGTGTATCGCGATACACGCGGAGATACGCGTCCGAGAGTAAAACGTAGAACACGCGATACGCACTTATTTGGTATAATAGCTGGATGTCGATCGTTCGTTTCTTCGTTAAAAATATCTTCTCGCGTGACATACGCGTTCTCGAACGAAGATCCTCTTTGGAGAATCGAACGAGATCGAGGCTTTGCTTTCTTCTTCGTACGCCGAGTCCCTCGCAAGCCGAACCGTTCGACTTTATTTCTCATCGATATTCGGTATTCGATGCCGTGAACAGGAAAAGATTTACTTGGGCCAGCTCGTTTATCGAAAAATGGACAGAAACGATAGGAGAGTAAACTTAAAAAACAGCGTGCGTTTGCAACATCATCGACGTTTCTCTCCGACGTTTTCGAATTCACGCGAGTCGATCGATACAGCTTCTGAATAGTTCATACGTCTATCGTGGTATGACGCGTATAATGGATATTTAATGACGCATAGAAACCTTTATGCAGCGACTCCCGTGAGATAAGATATCGTGATACTAATTTCGCGCATCCAGTCGTCGGACTGGCGACTCTTCCTACGAAGACAAAACATAGGAAAGAGTGGTTTTATTCGCGCCACTGTTATAACATCGCTCAGTCCGTACGGTTCTCTCTTATCGTTCTGTCAGCCGCTGTCTTGATATATCGTTACGCGTATTTCTATCGCTCTTGAATATTATATCGCGCGCTGTATCGGCCAGAAATTCTTGGAACGAGAGGCAATAAGGTGGAAACAACCGAAGAATTTCCCGAAGTCGTTCGCGATTTCCTTAAATAATACGGGGAAGGCATCGCTCTCTCCTCGCGCGTTCGGTATTGTTCTTCTATTCTCGTATCATATACCGTCGTGTACGAGCCCAAAACTTTCCTCGTCCCTCTTTCAGCTCCTTTATCCGATAGCGAAAGAAGAGAAGGCTTCGATCTCATCCGCTTTTCCAAAGAGGGTGTTCGTCCGAAAACGTGTATTTGCCGCAGCGACCTCGCTCAGTTTCCATTCGTTCGTTTCACGGTCGAGAATATCTATTCAAACGTCTATTAGAATGCTAACTCTAATACCTATTAGAATGGAATATCTATTTTTGACGAAGAAACAAATAACATCCACCTACCCTATTACATATTTATAGGAGCGTGCCGTGTCGCGTATCTTCCTGTCTTTCTTCCTGCATTTTAATCCTGTTCGCTTATCTCATACACCACGTATTCCCGATACACGCGTCTCTGCGTGGAAAAGCTATAATTCGCAGAGATATCGAGCACACTTGGACCAATCTGGCGGTATCGTATCGTCAACTTGGTTGTTCGTCGCTTGACAGCTATACCTGTTGTCAATTCCAATTATTATCAATTGCTATATAATAATAACGATAATAATAATAATAATAATAAGAGTAATAATAGCAATAACAGTAATAACAAGAGGAAAAAAACTAATGGCGTTTCGAACGCACGAATCTCTTAATCGAGTTACTCGAGTATCCCTATTCGACCTTCCGTCTTTTTTCTCTTCCTTCGCTTCTCTTCCCTCTTCTACTTCTTCTTCTTCCTTCGCTTCGAATGTTCGCGTATCGGTTGCTTCCGGCGATCGACACCGGTTCGCGATCCGTTTCACCGAACGTCATGGAAGTAACAGAGGAGAACGCGTTTTCTCGTGTTCGGCCGACCCGTCGACAATTTCTTTCTGCCGCTTTTTCTTCTTTTCGTGGCGGCGCATACGAAAGACGATGCTTCGGCATTAACTTTATTTTTAGTACGGCACGCGGACTTATAGAAAGTTGGAAGGGGAGTGCGAAGGAGGAAGTGGAGAAGGAGAAGGAACACAGAGGAGGAAGGAGGCTCGATGGAGAAGGAGATGGAAAACGAGGAAGAGAAGAAAGAGAAGTGGAAGGTGCGAGAGGGGCAGGGGCAGCGAGTTAGTTGCATTAACAGTGAATGATGCCAATCAAAAACGTACCGAATGTCTGGGCAGCTTATGCGATCGGCCTTGATCGACGATTACCATAGATTATCGTCTAATCGGCGTGCCTTGTGATTTAGTTACGCGACTGAAACGATTCCAACTATTAAAGCGCAACGTTATAACGCGACGTAAAGCAGCAACACGCACTTTCCATTGTATTTGGCTGCGCTCTTCTATGCCCTCGGACACTGTCGTCGTGTTATTCCGATAACTTTGATCGTGCTCGACGTCAGATCGAATATATTTAACGCGATCGAAGGAGGAGAAAGAGGAGGTGCACCCAAGTGCCTTCGTAAATGCAACGACGAATCGCATTGCTCGACTGTTAATCAGTTGCATGGATCGTCGATCGTAGATCGAAGTTCTCTAGAGCTGCGCGCGTCTCTAGCGATACATAAATATCGAGTTCGTCCTCGAATATGCCGCTACGGCGAGCGAGACACGAGCTCGGCTGAGTCAATTTTCTCTTTTTGAATCCGAGTTCGATCCACGTGTGCCAACAAGAAATATAGGAAAACGAGCGAAAAGTTCCGTCGTAGCGTGGACGTTGCGTCGAATATCGAACCGTGTTAGGACGAAAGAGTACTTTCAACCACGACTACGACCACGACAGTGACGACGAGCGAACACGAATACGACGCTAGGCACCTGGGTCTCCCTGTAGGGAAGACGAGTAGTTTTCCGTAGATGAGCATCGAGTGGCTCGATATCCCATTTTGCCTGGTGCCTGGCCGATGTAGGTCAGCTGAGTTGGCTGGTTGACGCGAAACAATGCGGATATCCGTGAGGTAAGTTAACAGCGATATCCTCTTCTTGCGAAGCAGCGAAATGACGCAAAGGGGGAAAGAGGAAAGCGGTAGGACACTCGACACAGAAGCAGCGCAGCGATAAAACGCTCGAACCTTGCCGTTTTCTTTTCGCCCCTTCGCGTTTGCTTCCATCGCGTCTCTGTTTTCGTCCCTGCCTATCGTCTCGGACGTCTCACCTCTGCAACGCGGTCTCTCCCCTTTGCTGCCGCGTTTCGCCTCTCCATCCCATTCCGTCTCTCGCGCTTCTCTTTCTCCCTTTCGCGTTCCTCCTGTATTCGTCTTTTCGGATTGGAATCTCGAAACGAAGGTCGAAGCCTCGTGCACGTCCGACAGCTCGACGCTCCAGCCACCGTCGAGATTCTGCCACTTTCCGCCACTTTTTACCCTCGGCGAGATCGAGCGTTCCCGTGGTCGCTGGCTCATCCGCCAGACGACTATCGTCGTCGTCTCGTTCACTGTCGCGTGGTTGGCAAAAAAATCACGATACGCGAACGCTCGCGTGCAGGGTATATACGCGCGCCAGAGAACGAAGATACGCGAGCCGCTAACGAACACGCCCGCACGCTCCGTTACGTTTCCTGCGACGGTTAATTCGCTCGACGCGCAAATGCAAACGACTGAACTCGAGACGGTCACGCGTCGCTTTCAAGGTAAACCGGAAAACTCTGTTTCTCGCGCTGCCGTGCAGTTTCTTAACTGCCGTCGTTTTTCTTATTACACGGACGGAGGGAGGCGCACGTGCGGAGAAGAAGAATACAGGTAATGGTAGGAAAGGAGGATGAAAAGGCGCGAAGTATGGAAAAGCGTGAAACGGAACGGCGAGAACGACATAGCGGCTCGTGAAACGACGGTGTTACAGGGCGGATAGAGAGTAAGTAGAGTAGGCAATTGGCCGGATAGAAGGTCGGCAAAGCCAGAAAGGGTGGCGAATGACGCGAAACCTCGTGCAGAAACAAAGAGAATGGAAGGGGTTTTATGCGCGCTTACGCGCATATACACGTAGAAAAGGAAAGCGAGAAGGAGAGAGAGGAGGAGGAGAAACCAAGGGAGAGAGAGAAAAGCAGCGGGGTTGGCGAAATATCGATCAGAGTGGCAGGTCCGGGACAAAAGCTCGGGCTCGGGCACGAGCTTGAGGTCGGCAGCCATCGTCCGCAAAGGGGAAATGTCGCTTTCTTGAGCGTATTAGCACGCTTGCCGGCATCCTACGTTGCCTCCTATTTTCTTCTACTTACGTAGGTCCACCGTCTGGAAAAGTTGCCCCAGGATCGGCGTATAAATCTCACGACCGCACGAGACTCGCGTTCCAACCGATCACGTATCGACGAGCCTGTCAGGATAGATCGCGAGAAAAGCGAGGCGGGAGAACCAGCGGCGAGTCATCGCGATCCGTCGCAGTATTCGTTTTGTTTCCACGCACCACTCTAATTTCCCTTTTTCTCGCGTCTTCCTTCCTTCCTTTCGTCCTTCCTTTCTTTCCTTCGCGTAGATTCCCGTCACCGTTCGCGCGACTTTCGCTCGAAACTGCGATCGCATCGACTTCCTAGAAGAGGAGAGCGAGCGCGCGGCCGCGCGATCGCGACCCCACCCACCCTACGCTTTGCCTTTCCTTCCCGTCTGCACCACCGCTTTACACCGTCGCCCTCGTTCCACGCGGCCACGTCCACACGGGGTTGCGATTTCTAGCCACAGCCGATCGATCTTTTCCGTCCTGCCATCCCTCGACGACAACGGACTTCGTCGCTCCGGCGCCACTGCTCTCTCGCGCATAGACGCCTACGTCGATAAACTACGACCCACGTTTATCCTTTCTCCACGGGTAAAACGCTCTTGCTCGCTTTTCTCGCGGCGGAGCCACTCGCATCTACGATCTCTGCTTTCTCTTCCTTCCGATTTCCACGAGCTTCTTGGTATTCCTTCCTGGTCACGTCGCTACCGCGTTACCGCTGTTACCGTGTCCTTCCATCCTCGATCGTCGAGTCGCACGACTTACTCCAGGCTCTGTACGACAAATATTTGGCGGATTCGATGAATTACGTTAACAGCGATTGGATCGTTTAGTCGAAGATAGCGTCGCGAGTATCTGATGGACACAGCGTAGAGCGTCAAAGTCGACGCGCGTCGTGACGAAATATCAAGAAGGCGATCGATCCTCGACGATATCCGGAATGTCGATTAAGTAGAGAATCGTCTGAGGAATTTGCGAATGCGCGTGTGCCTGAATCGCGTCTCTATGTCGCGCATTCTAAATAAATAATAATTATGGAAGATCGGCAGAGCTTGCGTAACGGTAGCCTCGACTTTCGTCATTCCTATAAACTGTTTTGTATTACACGATAGAAGCTGGTTTATCCGAACAGGCTGAGAGACGATCGAGTAGTTTTGGTAACAAAGATTCGTTGGATGGATATTCTCTTCGGTTCTTTTTATTAGTTTAAACATTAGGACTGAAGCGTCACGATTTTAATTGCTCTTCTTCTTGAACACGTAGAATTTCCTTTAAATCAAAATAAATATTGTATAAATAAATATCGTAACATTG